AGGTTCGCCCCCCCCCCCTCCGAACAGCGCCTCTCAATATTCTCCGGATGTGTGTACCTGTTTTGCATTTCGTGCGTTTGCGTCGCGCTCGCGCCGGGCGGGGCGAGGCGTCGTGGCCTGGCGAGCTAAGCTGTTTGTGAAAGCTTTTGAGGCGAGCAGAGGCGAGGTGTGGCCGCTGGATGTGAGCTGGGGGGTTGTGGGTATAGAGCACTGGGGTTGCACGGCCGATACGGTACGGACTACTCGGCTGATAAGCTGATAAACCCCCATCACAGTCACAGCGCCGCCTCGGAGTCGGTCTTCCTTTTCCGAGCAGCCGAGTGAGCCAGGCGGGAAAAGCTCGGGAAGTATACTTAATTCCTTGTTCATATATGAACAATTACATATCAACGCCGTTGTACAATTTTTAAACTATGGGTCGATTATTCATAAAAACACCACGCTAAAGAACGCATTCAGAATCAAAGAGTGCTTTGTATGCCATTAAAGTGCCCATAACACCTTACGAGTAAATTTCCCTTGTGGGTTCGTTTCGCAGTTAACAAAGAATCGTTAACGTTTTTGCTTTAGTACATTTCATCTGTGTCATTTTCTTTAGTTTACCACCCGTGTAGCTGTAGCGCCTGCTTCCCGCTGCAGCTCCAGATAACTAGGTACAAAAAATTGCCCCTCCCCATTTAGAGTGTACCGGCGCTACCAGCGACGCTACCACCGCGGCGCTACTCGACGAGCGCATCTGTCTGACCTTGGCGCCGCTGCCGACCCGAGATCCCGCCGATTTGGATCGATGTGATGTTTTATATCGCTCGGAGCAGATCTCGAGGTGCGAACGGCGTGTGCTTTGTGCTCCGGGGACCCCCCGCACGGGCCCCCGCCCCGCCCGCGCGCCCCGGACCGGACACGCCCGGGAGGTTATGGACACGCGCTGCGACGCACCGGCCACCGGGGGCCACCGCTGGGGAGCGGTAGCCACATACGGTGCAAATCTCCGTTAACTCGCAAACGAATCGTGTAACTTTCTCCTTGATTCTTTTTAGAAAACACAAACGTAAACTTTATTGGCTACATCTTTGCTTAAGGGGAAATGGAAGGGGGGGGGGAGGGGGGTATTGTATGAACGCGAAGGTGTTGGGCGTTGGGCGGCACTCTCCGAGCGACGTGCGACGCCCCGCCGCTCGCTCGTCCCACCATCTCTTCTTGCCCCTCCCCCCCCTCCTTCTCTCTCTCTCTGTCTCTCTTATCCTACCAAACGTAAATGACAACGGGACCCAACTCTAGTAAGGCTGCAGCAGCGCGTTGGACAGGGGAAAAAAAGGCTTACCTTACATAAACAAACGTCACGGAACCGTGCAGTGCGAGAGCACTGGAGCGAGTAGGAGCCTCCAGCAAGGCGCACGTCACTCTAGAAATCCAAGTGTACGAATGTTGCACACCTGTAGATGTGTGAACGACCATTCACGCCCTTGGTAACAGGTAAATGGCTACCTTTTCAAGTGTCTGAATCTCTTTTCGCTCACCTACAAGTGTGCAAATCTCTTTTCGCTCATCTACTAATTGTGCGAATACTGCCAGGTGTGTGAATATGTTGTCGCTCGGTGAGCGTACACTTTGATTTCGCAGAGCAGGGACCGCCGGGACGGCCATTCCGGTCCGTTCTCCCCGAGTGGGCGGGGGACGTAAGGTTGGGTTGGTATCGCTGGAAACGAATGACTGTGCGCTTGGTTTTATGGTTTGACAGAGAGGCTGATACGTTCTCCTCTCCCGACGCCCACTGGTGGGGCCGAAAGGAATGGGATGATGGATTCGGTGCGGATGTTCTGCGGGGCTGGCCCCCCCGGCCAAGCTCCTTGCCCAAGGCCACTTTGCCCGGCCTGCCCGCGTTGAGTTCAAGCTGACGGCCAACGTAATGACACTGAAATTATTAAAACAATGTGTAATGAAACAAGTGAGGGAAGACGCAAAATAAATGCGTGTGCGTGTATGAAATGGAGAAACTGCAAAATGTAACGTGTATTTGGTGGTTTCGTTTCGTATAGCGAAACTTCAAAGAAAGAGATTCTCCTTGTCCTGCTATACGGCAAGGTTGTCGGTCCCGCGCACCCCGCAGGCTTTGCTTCCGACGCCCTTGCCTCTAAGGTCGGAGCGAGCGGAGAGCTTCCTTTGCTATTCGCCAAAAGTCGACCCCCTCCCCCCTCTCTCTCTCTCCCTTTTTCCCCTTGCCCATTTGGAGTTGCTGCCCGCCGGTGGTGGGTGAGGCCATACGCAGGCTGCTGCGGTTGCGCCTGCTGCCCCTCGGCCTGCCGCCCCGGCGCTACAGCAGGCCGACGCAATGCAACTCGCCGCCGATAGGCTACTCTAAGCCTCTACGTCTCCCTGTCTCGGCAAGCCTGCCCAGCTCCCAAGACGGCTCGTCGCCACTGTCCTGCGAAGGGACACTGAATTTATCTCTCTCTCTAACACACACACAGCGGTGGAGGTTGCATAAAAGAGGACTGGAATCGCGCACCGGTGGGTTGCAGCGCAGTGCAGTGCAGTGCAGCACCGTCCTCCGCGTCCCAACACACGACTGCACGATCGAATCAGGCCTCTGCTGTGTGCCATCCACGCTCGGTGGGGTGGGAGGGAGACGGACGGCCCTGTGTCGAGTCTCTTCCCTCTCTTCCTCGTGCTGTCGTTGTTGTCGTCCGCCCCGCCAGGCCGGGAAATAAGAAGGACCCCGACCTGTCGTCGCGCGCGCCTTTCTTGCGCCAAATTCGAACGGCGGCGGAAGTTTACAGTTAGCGGTTCGGTTCGGCTGCAGAGTGCTTGCGACACGGCGGCGGCCATAGGCCCTGTGGGGCCCACCGCGCGCGCGCTCCTCCGCCCCGCCTCCCTGTAGCGGGATGGCGACGGATCGGCCGGACCAGTTTTGCCCAGCTCACGATATGGCTGTCAGTGCGGACGTGTGAGTAGTGAGGGGTTAATTATGAGTGGCGGGCGCTGGCTGTGCGCCTGCTGCGCCTGCTTTGCGCTGGCCCCGCACGGCCGGGACGTGCCCGCGGGACGTGCGAACGGGCCGCGCAATGCGTCGCTAATAATGGCGGCGCTGCCGCGATACACTGCGCGCGGCGCTGACCCCACAGTCATCCCCCGTAATGGTGTCTCTCTCTCTCCCTCTCTCTCCCGTTCGCACCGCTGGATGGTTTCGTCAGGAACATCACCCGCCTCTCTCCCCTCACTCCCGCCGATAACGCTGCCCGCCGCTACTCGTCACCGCTCTACTCTCCCCCGCTTATTAGCCTCATTCCACCCCATTAATCATCTGGGGCGGAGGAGTGTCCCTGCGACAACGACGGGGCCATCCACCTGGAGGGTTGTCCTTAAGGTGTCTCTTAAGTGTCCCCAAAGTTGTCCCCGAAGTGTTTTCAAGGTGTCCCTAAGACGTTCGCAAGCGTCCCCAAGGCTTCCCCCAAGGCGGCCCCATGATGCCCCTAAAGACCTTAGGGCATAAGGTGTCCCTAAAGTTACCTCTAGGTGTCCTCAACACAACATTAACACGTTGAGTCCCAAGGGGGGTCGCATTCACGGCTTATTGCGACCACACGTGTGGTCACGTGGGACTCAACGTGTTTTAACACGTTCCCTGCGGCTCATTATTGATGCCTATGATTTATCACGGAAGCGTGTGCCCACATGGTGGTCATGCCGGAGGGAACGCGCTAAAGTGTCCCTGATTCAATCCTTCCTGTCCTGAAGGCCCGTCGGGCGTCCCGTTGTGTTCTCAAGGTGTCGCGCTCTCCGGACGGGACCGTCTTGAAGGGTGTCCCGCGCCCGCGCTTTCTGTACGCACGTCGCCTTGAGCCGCTTCCCCTGCGGCCCTCCTGCTGCGCTGGCTGTTCTTTGGGCATTATTGCCTCATTGGCGGTGGGCCTCGGGGGCGCCCTTCCGGGTGCGAGGGAGGCGCAGGCTGGCTGTGCTGGCTCGGACTACTGACCCGGGCCCCGGGCGGCGGCGAGGAGCTGCTGCTGCGCCTAGACGGAAGACTACCACAATAATTGCACCTGCCCCTCTAGCCGTGGCCCCCCGCGCCTTCGCCTTCATAACCTGCCGCCGCGCCATGAGCCGCCCTGATTGAGCCCGCCGGCTGTGGTGTGGAGGCGCCGCGCTCCCGGCCGCCTCACCCGGGAATAAGGACCCCGTCAAGGACTCGCAATGACACACGCCGCGCGCCCGCCCGGTCCCACGGGGCCCTACTCTGCTCTGCAGTGCGATAATGCCAAGGCCAGCCTTTGTGCCGGAGCCGCTCGCGTAGGCGCCCGGAGGCGCCCGGAGGTGGAGCGCGGAGTCGTGGGGAGCACTGAGCGCCCGCTCGGCCGATTCGCCCCGTGCCGCGGGTGCGCGTTGGGCTGCCTACCTCCGCGGCGCAGCTGACGAGCAGCGCGGGCGGGGCGGAGCGAGGCCAGCGAGGCTTCGCGAGGTGTCGTGGTCAGAGGAGGTCTGCAACAATCCCGTCAGAGAGCGGCAGGTGTGCGAGTGAGATGTTCGAGCAACTCACTCGCACATGTTGTTGCCTTTCGTGCGCTCCCGTGACTGGTGGACCGACCGATGATGCAGACCCTTGGTCGCAGTCGTGCGGCCGCCTCTGCCGGCGCGACTTTGGAGCGGTGACTCGCGGCAGAATCGAGTGGTGTGTTGGCAGTGACTGACTGGCGCCGTTCGCGTGGGCTGAACTAGCAGCGGCAGATCTTCGTGTCGTATCGAACGTAAAAGCGCTGCGCATTCTGCAGCCGCTAGGCTTCAACGCGTTGTGCGGATGGTAGACTTTGAAAAGGAAACTCCACCGCGCGTCGCGCGTCTCGGGCGCGCGCCGTAAGAGCGAACTGTCACAAGCGCGACCCGTCGTAAGCGCGAATGCCACAAGCGCGACCCGGCGCAA